CATTTTAAATATGAACGGAGCTGTACAATTTGACCCAAGTTGTCTTTTTTTAAATAATTGTATGATGAACAATGACTAAAGAATTTAACTTAGTATTTTGCCTCCATATTGTTATCAAGGTTTTGTGAACTGTACTCACATAATAGTCACATTGAGTTTGAGAGGATATAATATTTCTACATCAGACACCGTTGGCGGTAAAATGTGATCCTGGCAATCTCTATAAATATATAAAGCTGTGGATATAAGCTGGGATACATAAAACTACAGTACTGAAACTTGAGCTCACTCTGAATCTTGTTATAGTTATACATGAGCGAGACGTAATGCAATAACGTAAGTAATAACTACAGTTATGCACAGCAGGTTACGAGCCATCGAATGTAACATTACTCTATGATTAATGCTATATAGTAAATATTATATTAAGTTAAGCTTTAACTTAACTTAGTTTAACCTGTATAACGATGGAAAGAGCATAAATATATACTGTACATGATTTAATGAAATAATATAGTAGGCTAAATCATTCCAATAAAACACCTAGCATGTAGGGCTAATACTTATATTTTATAAATAAAATTCATTTAAGTAAGGTACTTTGTTCTTAATAATGTATGTAAAATATAAAAGATACAAATCCAAGGATTATGAGTCCTTGGTATCTTAAATTGTCCTCTTAGCATTGTGAACAGAGGTTAGTCAGTTAAATATCATCCTAATATAATATTATTATATTATATATAAATATTATATAAATATTACATAAATATATATTATAAATATACTAAAATATAAATATATTATATTATAAATATATATTATAAATAAATATAACCATAAAATTATATTATAAATATTATATAAATATATAAATATCATCATAATATAAAACCTACTCAAACACATAAAAAACATAATGATAAGGGGGTTTTAAAAAGAAATACAGATATTGATTTGTTAGTGTCTTGGTACTGGGGGTTTCCTTTAACTAAAATCTGGTATTCACACAGCTATAAAAAAATTTCAAACAAATTAAAAGTATAATTTATATGCTTTTAAACATATAACGTACATGCATAAAAGAAACCATGAAACATTTGTAGGCCTTCATCTCAAAGTGAAGAGGTTGGTGAAACGAAGTATACTGGTGGAGGAAACTGACGATTCTTTTGTAAATTGCTTTTAGGTTTTGCTTTGAAGGTTAAGAATCTCTCACATGGAGCAGTGTTTCTTCACCGTTTCTATTGGATAAGATCTCTTGTAAATGGATGACGAAACAAAAGGTTTACTTAAAAGTGGATAAACCCAGTTTAAATTGAAAGATTTGCACATTTTAAAGATTTTTTTGTTGTTTCTGTTCTTAAATATTTCTTCTTATATATCTACAATGTTTTACCTTTTGACTGTTGTTTGTCTTTTTAGTAGTAGTTCTATATTTTTACGGAAAATTGCGAGAGTTTTAGTGAATTTTGTATCTGAAGAGTAAGCTATTGTCGTATATCAAATACCTGGAACCTGGACCAATGTCCCCAGAGCCCAAAAACAGCATCAGTTCGAGTTCAAAAATACTCTTTAAGAGGGTCATTATAGGCTAAATATTGGATTTTACTGTTTTCACCCTCGAAATGCTAAAATAGCAAAGGGGAAAAAATCAAAAAAATCTTTAAATTAAAAATTCCTACGTTTTTCTTTCAAGAGAATAAGTTAACGACTAAGTTTTGCTTGTTTATAGATACAACCCATTTTGATCAAATTTGTCAATTTTTTTTATTTTATACTTTTGATATTTTATAGAAGGCACACTTACTACCTTTCCAGTAACTGCAAATCGCAGTATTAGTTAAACCTAGTTTTTTTTTTAATACGGAATATTTACGAGATGTATAAGAAATATTTTACTGAAAAGACAATCAGGCAGATGGTAATTTGCTTAGTCTGCAGGTTTGCTGCTGTAAAGGCACTATTTTTTTAATACCTCTCATGCAACAGCATGAAATAGAAAAGAAAACATTTTAAACTTGTACGTGTTGTGAGTCTGGTGTCTTGGACTTTGTTGTAGGAGTAAGAGTGTTTATACACTGCCACTAAGGATTGTTTAGTGCTTGGATAGCTTTCCTTTAAAAGCGTTCACTAGTCTCTATAATATAAAATTCAACTGCCCTAAACACGAAAAAGCGTGCCAAAACTTATAATACGCAACCAATCATGATAATAACTTTGTATTTCTTTTGATGACATATAATTTCATTAACAGGTAAAATATTTTTTTCAAAATCCTAAACTTCTGATGGATTTATTTACGTTCAGATAGAAATAAAAGTATGTAATCATTTTTTCTCTAAAAAACGAAAAATTTGATGTTTTGACATTGAGTCATTGAGTTATTATGGTAAAGCCTGGAGTATCTAATTCTTTGCATATTAATGTTTTAATTTATGTTCTAATTCTTGCATTTGCATTTCAATGTTCCATCAATTATTATATTTTTACTATTACTCATATATAATTCGATATTAAAGGTGATATTAATAGCAAACGCAAATAATGGTAGACCTTTAAAAGCCAAAGGTTTCTTACTTTTTTTTAAGGAAGGATTAATTAACGAGTTGAAATTTGCTAAATTAACCCAAATGCTTTATAAAAGTAAGGTCATTCTGCACAAGCTTTACGCCATGTTTCAGTTTGGAAACCATTGAATTAAAGTGAAAAAAACCTCTTTGGCAATCGGCAAAAAATTATACAAAAAATGATGGAAAGAACTAAGGAGGATTTCCAAGGAACAAGCGTAATTTGTCGCTTTTGTCATCGTCAAATTACCTTTATTTCAACCTCTTTGTGTAACCAGCGATGCAAATTGAAACATTATCATTACTCCATAAGTAGAGCGTATACATTTCCTTGCGGTAAATTTTCAAAGCAATACAGTATCTCAGAATAACAAAAGATATTTCTGCTTCGTTACTTACTTATTTGTTGCTTGAGGGCTTCATACTAATTAAGAAAATCTTGTTTAACTTATGGAGTTAGACTCATGGGTTTAGAAAAATCATATTATGATATATTTAAAAACAAAGTATGAGAGTTTAAAGCTTAATTTTAAGTTGCCGCTTTGTTTAAAATTTATACGTAGACTTTTTAATAAAACTATTTTTATGGAGGGTAAAATGTTCACGCTTTGTGTTATTTTTTCTTGGAAAATTTAAAGTAAATTTTTAAAACTATATTATCGGAAAAAGTAATTATTACTTTATACGACAAATATATAACTGTAAATTGTTAAGTTATTAGCTCAAAAAGCATAATAAATATTTGAGGAGAAAAAAATAAACTAATGAAAATTTAAACAATATAGCGAATAAATTAGGATAAAATGTGACGTAGAGTTAAAATTGTAACATAATCAGTTAAATAGAATATTATAAATTTTCATTTGTATTTTGACTTGCGGTTACCTAGATTAATTTTAATTATGAGGGTGAGGGTATGAAAACATACCCCAGACGATAGATAAGAGTAAATTTATAGGTGGATTTTTGAAAACGCACTTCGTGAAAAGAATACCTGCATATGGTTACATAAAATGATAAAGTCAGAGAGCACATAATAGATTTCTATTCTGTGCTCTCTGGATAAAGTTAATATAAAATGAAAATGAGTATTTTTACAAGAGATTTACTGAAAACAGGTTAACGTGGCAGGAATAGTAATAACGACCACAGGGGTTGGTGACACTCCTCACCGGTTACAGGGTTACTAAGTGTAAAGAAAAAGAAAAGAAAAAAAGTTTGAAAATACACTGATACAGAGTTTTTGAATGCTTTACCCTTGTCTCTGTTGGTAAGAGGTTGCACATAGATTGAACAAGTTTACAGTTAGCAGCTACTTATAGTGGTTATATTGTTTACTTAGCCATCAACAGGTAGCCTCTATCCTGAAAAAGGCAATAGCTGTTTGATGTTTTGAAACTTGACCCAGCTGTTCCTGATTTGGGCTTTAAATAAAAAATATTCTCGGATGAAACAGCTGATCTTAGCCTGTAACAAAGCTACACAGATCATCTCACACGGTTCTACATTCATATTGGGTTTAAATACGCACCTAGAGTCGGGATCACATAAGTTTGCAGTTGAGGGAGGAGCCTATTTACCATATGGTTTTGAATGAACCAATGAGAACCGTGCGGTGTTGCCAAATCTAATAATACCAGCTGATTTGAAAATATTGCATAGTATATTTTTATTAGTGTTGTCAACGGGCAATGTGGCAACGTCGCACTATCCTTGTCTTGTGATTGGCTGCCACCAACTGCAAACTTACTAGGTCCCGACAATAGGTGGCGTCTCCATCTCCAATGGTAATCATAATGATAGTACAATAACGAGGAACTTGACAAGTTGATAACAATAACTACGCTAATTACCATATTATGTAAATAATAAATATGTGTTGCTTTGATAAATCGTACATAATATATTAAAGTAAACTAGAGGTAACCACGTGCTCTAAAACTCGACTGAAAATATTAATTTCGCAATCCTCTCCATTTCCACCACGAAATTAGAATGGGATTTCTTCCATTTGTTTTTATATTTCGTTGTTATTTCGGCACTAGCATGGCAAGGCAACCCATTAGGCCCATGTTAGTTATTCTTTTAAATTTTAAATTAATTTTGTGTGCTTATTTTTAAGTTTTTTTTTATTTATAAAGGGATTCTACACATATTCAAGCAATAATACTTCTAACAGTATGCGTAGATTTTGCCTGCGATGCACACGAGCTGAGAAAAAAGAAACATGCCTGCTTATTAATGTATAGGATTAATTCGAATAGTTTTCATATTGTATAACAAATCAACATCAATTTAAACGTTTTAAAGAGATTTCTTCTGGATTCAAATAAATTAGTTAATTCCGGGAAGTTTGTATCTACAATGAATAAGTACTTTAAATGTATACATAGTCTGAAAACAATATTTACAAAATGTTTCTCCTTTCAGGTGGAAGATTAAAATGGCATTTCGTAAAGACTGACACTTTTCTGGCACACATCACTGAAGCCGGTAAGTCACCAATAAGATTTATAGTGCTAAGATTATTTCTGTAATGTATACAAATTTAATAACTTTAAACAAAATTTAAGTACTCGTATGATAATATAAGAAAGTAGACTTTGTTTAAAAATTTAAATCGATGTTATTGGTACTGATTGGGAAATGTAAAATGTTTAATTATTCACAAATCATCCCAACATACCATTGCTAAAACATGATTCAGATATTTACTTGTTTTATTTTCACCGTCTAATTTTAGAAACTTAACGATTATATATTTATTTCTATACATTGCTTCATTTTCTTAATCGTTAACGAGGATTTAGAATTAGAGTAAAACCCCTTAGGTTAAGAAAAACCTACACACCCATTGCAGACCAATCAACAAAAATTATAATACGTTATGCTTACAAAAATCGACAGAAAATTGACAAAATGCTTTATAACAAACAATGTTGCTCACAAATAAAATTTTGACCGCTTTTAATGAAAATTCCTTCCTTTTAAAATATGTTTTACTTCATTCCGTCGAGAAGAATGGTGAAAACAATTAGGGCAGTGAAGCCTGTTACATGTAAACATTTGTCGCTTCCCGCCGCCAGGAGCGTTGCTGTAGCTAATGGATTGGGGCTTGTTGTTAATTACAATTAAGAAGGATCTTGGCGGTTGTCTACAAAAACTTTCCGTCAAAATTCCCATCGTGGCAATTAATAATTGCGTTAATTGAAAGGTATCGTTAGTGCATTATATGAATGTAAAGTAATGATTACATACATTTTAAATTTTTTTACATTTCTTTATTTATTAATGATTACATTATTTTGTACATTTCTTCAACTTTAGTGTATTAGGAATGCGATTATTGGAATTTCAATATTCGTAATAGTTAAATTATTAGTTCATGTACAGTTTATATAACGTTAGTCCGTGTTGACGTTTATATTATCTATAAATATAATATACTAGCTGTAACCCGCGGGCTTTGCCCCGTTTAACTTCTTAATTTTCAAGATGATCTCGTTCGCATGGCTGAATCACGTCCTGGTTGAAGTTCGTTCGCTACGCTCACTCACCTTTAGGTTGGAGCTCGTTCGCTACGCTCACTCACCTTTAGGTTGGAGCTCGTTCGCTGCACTCACTTGCCTTCAGGTTAGCTCGTTCGCTACGCTCACTTGCCTTCAGGTTAGCTCGTTCGCTACGCTTACTCGCCTCCAGGTTGAAGTTCGCTCGCTACGCTCACTCACCTTTTGGTTTCAAATTAGCTGTTGTCATAAATGTAAAAGAAATAATAGTGCTGCACCCTGTTGGTAATCCTTGTAACTTAAATGCTATTGAACATCATAGAACAGAACCAACTTGTTTAATTGAAACAGCTTTTAAGATTCATTAATTCCATTTCTCATAAGGTTAACATGGGAAACTCCAGAGCCACTGGGGCGGAGCCGATTGGACGGATCACGAAATTGATTGTGTATAAACCTATTCCATGAAATTCTACACGTATGTACCAAGTTTCGTGGCAATCGGTTCAGCGGTGTCTGAGTTTATCACTGCCAAACAAATATATATACAAACATCCTCTTTTATACTTATATAGAAGACTTTTAGGACTTTTCCATTACACTTAATAACACTTAATAATCAAATAATCTTTTGTTGGAAGATCAAATTGATTTAATTTTTACAATTTATGAACGTTGTTCCTAATAAACGTTGTTCTTTTCTTATATATTCTTTTTTATGTTTGGAATCTCATGTTATGATTATAAAAACTACCCCTACTCGCACTTCTACATATTTAGCACTCATCGAAGCTAGAATTTATGGTATTAATTTGGTAATAAGTTATTTTTTAACTTTGGCTGATAAAAGATAATTAATGCGTTTGATGGTGTGGTAATATTTGGGCTAATAAGATTCATTTCAATTTTTGACTTTTTATATTTGAAACTGCTAGAGGTTTAGTAACAAAATGATAAGGTCCCTCTATGCCCACACATACTACAGTGTTTTGATTTCTCTATTGTAACCACTAGATAAAATCTTCAATTTTCAGGCCATTTTCAAGGTTTTCTAGTTATCAATCCACTCAAATTCCCAATTGTAAAGGATCGAGTCATCAGTAAAGCAAATTAAATCAAAATATAAAAACACCTATGGTTAACTCTATTTTGGGGTAAAAGTGTACAAAAACTCAACATTTCATTAAAGATTGAAGTTAGGCTTATTCCAAAAATTTTAGAAAATTATTTCAACATGCATTGAATTACTTATGATGTCATCTTTAATGTATTATAATATTTTTTTAATATAAATAATGAAAAGTGCATAAAAAGACTAACCCAACAGTATCAAGTATTATTTGGTTTAGATTTTTGTTTCCACTCAAATATTTCAAAGAACTAATCACCAAGGTTCAGGTTCAATAATTACATTCGCCATGTTTTTGCAGGCAGCCTTCCAAGAGCCGGCCTAATTGTAATTAACAACGAAGCTTCTATCCATTAAAGGCGGGGCTGCTTGTGACAAATGGGCCCGTTACTTCTCTTTGACTTCATAATTGCTTAAAAAAATACTGTTTGTACATCTAAAATATTCTAACAATCATTAAATATCCAACGTCATTTATGTAAAGATTTCCATGAAAATTAAAGTATGAGGATTATGAAATGTTTTCAGGGAGGATTTAATAACACACTTTATTTCAAAAAGCTTCTCGGAACCTTATTGCTTCGTTGTTTATTAAAAATTAACCCTGGAATTAAAATGAAGCACTTTTTTACTTCATTTACGTGTGTAGCTAACTAGTACTAATAGCTTAGACGTTATATTATTGTATTCGTGTCCCTTATTATTATTTTTTTTTACTTTTTCGATTGTATGATTACAATTTAAGACAGCAGTAAAAAGCTTAAAAGAGGTTAATGTTGAATTGTATGATTGGTTAATTGATTATCCGGTTCTTAGAGTCTGCAAGTCACTGGTTTGGTTTCCAGCGAGATCGTTACTGGATTCATTTTCTAATCGTCATTAGGTTATCAGTTATGGAATCCTATTTAAAATCAATGGTGTCAGCAATCTGACAGCATCTAATCACAAAAGTTGCAATATATTTTGAACCGTAATTGTAACAGCAATGGGGAGTTGCACTATTTCATTTAGAATTATAAGGGCCGAACCATACTAATTTTAATCAAATCTAGTTTTTCCCTAAAATCAGATTTTTAGTAATTTATTTTAAGTTTTTTGTTTATGGGAAAATAACATAAGTTACAATGGCTTTGGAATAGCAATTTGTACGGAAATGGGGTTTTGTTCACAACATAAAGGACTACACACAAAGTTTTTTTTGTAATCATTCGGGCCATTTTCTAACAAATCCGAATTGTCCTTTATTTCATGGGGTTTTATAGAAAAATCACCATTAAAAATTAAAATTTCAAGAAAGTGAAAAAGGTGCCTGGAGATACCATTGATGAGTACCTACATACTGAATTTAATCAAAATCGGACTACAGGTGTGTTCTGTAGCTCTATACACATCCACACACAGACATCACTTCTAAACTCACTTGTTTGGATCCAGAAAGGCCCAAAACAAATATGTCCACTCAAAACTCAAGGTCGAAAATTTTTACGAAAACAATACTTTCTCCATATACTAAAGTAAAAAGGTCGACCTTAAAAGAACACGACCAGTTTTTTGACCAACTATTACAAACAACTATTTAAAAATTCTCATTGATTTTTTCAGTCAAAAATAAATTAACATTAGCTCAATATTAAGGGTATGAATTTTGATTTCTTTATTTCCAACATGTTACCTTTTTACAGTCTTTGCTGTTATATTGACAAAACCCTGGTCTTTATATATTTACATATTTGTTCCAAAAATACATTGTAGCATCATGTTTACAAAACTTCGTCGCTATTTGGTAGCTGAGGGGAAAAGAATGTAATAAACGTCGACCCACATTTGACTGGGATTTGCAAAAATGTTGGTTGTTACACCCCGGAAAACGCTACGCCAGAACATGTCAGGATACTGGGTAATATGAGACGGCGAGGATTCTCATTGTAACCCTAGCTAATGCAATTAAACGCAATGATGAAATAGGGCAGTTAAAAGAAATTTTCAGTGTTTGTAGGTTGCGGGAATAGATGAAGCAATAAGGTTTTTGTAGCATATGGCATCATGAAATACATGTTTTTTAATTACGTTATCATCACCTTTTCCTATAAATATTGAGTTTTTTTCCTACGTGCTAGGTTTGGATATATCTCCAGAAGTACTCCATAAACTACTTAAGTTTCTTATTTAAAAACTTTCTGCCGTTTTGAAAAATAGTGGCCATTTTTGCAATAATGAAATCACTATTGTTAATGTTATAATGGTTTTTTTTAGAATCTAGATCTAATTTTAAGACTTATATACTCTTAAGCATTTGACATACATGGCGCAGAATGTTTACCGCAAGTAATTCGTTCTTAGTTTTAACACGCTGTACCTCCTAAGTGAATAGTTTTAGAGAAACAAATGCAGGGAATAAAAACGTTTTTAAATCACATTTAATTTCTAAAAAATCATAAAATAAAGGATCTTCCATAAGAAAAATAAAAGTTGGCGGCCATATCGGAAAAATGACGGCTAACATAATTTTTTTAACTTGACCTAAATTTATTTAATGAAAAAATCCAGGGCAGTTATAATTTAAAATTTTTGATATTTCTTATAACTTTCAAATAAAACAACTGGCACACTTATATCAATCACCCTGTATAGAATTCAGTAGCAATTTGTCATTGAGAAAAATATTATTAAATATGTTTGCATCTTAAATGTGTAAATATACCAACAAAATAAAATGTAATTATTGCGAATGTACAATAAATAATTAATATTAATTTCGAACTCCATAACCTCACTATTGATTTATTCACTTACATCCCATTTCAATACAAAACTAATGACAACTGCTAGTTGACTTTTTTCAGCTGATCAAAACATGA